GACTTCTCTGACAAAGATATCTACCCTTGAACACTTGAATAACCTTCATAGCTAGCTTCATAGTCTTGTGTAGCCCTTGATTGGTACTCATACCTCTTGATATCCTGCATACATGTCAATGAAATGCAAATGATAATGCTAATGTGAATGAAATGAATCATAAGCTAGGTAAAGAAATGTTGGTCAAATTTTGGGGTGCAACACCATGCGCACAAGACCTCAACCGTACCACCACTACTCCTAAATTCTGCGCGACAAAACTGCATTATGTACCTGCACAAAACCAATACCCCAAAACCCACAGCAAAAAAACTGTCCTTATGTTATACGTATCACGCATCGCGACAAAAAATAAAAACAAAATTACATAACAAAATTCAATAACATAATTTGGAGAGGGCGAAGATACCCCTGCTTTGTTTTCCTCGAATCACCCGTAACCTTCACTTCTTTCCTGAATTTTTTTCGATTACTGCTGCTAAAAGCCGAATTAAAAAAAATCCCTTTTCATCTCCATCCTCCCTTCAACCCTCAACCCGAAATAACCTTCAAACCTCACCTTTATCCGATCTTCAATCTTAAAATCCCAGACCTTCATATGACCTTCACCTAACTTTCTTTAAACTCTCTTCAAATCCGCTTCCACCCTTTACCTTCTAAAATCTCAAATCTTCAACCTTCAAAACCCACGCCCAAATGAGTCACAAACCAAAACAGAGAGATTGTTTGAAACCTAACAACAACAACAAACCGAATTTTCACCTTTCCTCTATCCCTCTTCAACCTTCTTTAATCAAAAAACCTCATACATTTCAATCCTCAAACATAAAAAACCACTGACTCGTTCACCTCCACCCAAAAGCAAAAAAACAATAGGGTAGAAGAAGAACAGACCGAGACGAAGAGAATGAATAAAACCACATCCAAATTGAGAAGAACCTGAACAAAAAAGGGAAAGACTTGGATCTGCATGAATAAGGTTGGAACAAAGATGTTCTTTGATTCATCTCCATTTTTATGATGTCGCACAACTTTTTTGCTTTTGTTTTAATATGTTTATCTTCTTCATCATTAACAAAGAGGGTAGGCGTAGGTTTTGTGTGAGTTGAGTGTTGTCTTTTCCCTTTTGTGTTTTGAGAGGTTAAAGGCATTTGTTAACCGTGTATTGGTCTTATTACGAGCAGGTTGGGCTTTACGACACATGTTTCTGCTTTTACACACCATCCTTATGTTGTTCACATGTTGTCCTATGACCATTTACTCATGGCTATATGGTTTTGGGCTGGTGAGGATTTTCTTTGAAGCCCAAGGATCAGCATACCATATCCACACACTCCAATTTCTTCGTGCGCCCTTTTCCATGGTTTTTTTTATTATTTTATTTTATTTTATTACTTATAGGTGTTTTATTTTATTTTATCTTGATTTGTTAAAGTTTCTAAGGATTTAAGTATGAAAAATTATGTTGGGTTATGTAGCTTTGTTAAAATATATCACTAAATAATTAGGCTTGTGTTGATATTAAATCACGCCTGGTCTTATTTTATCATTTTCGCTTCAATTTCATCATGGATTTTGTTTTCAATTTCATCTTGGGTCGATGGTGAGACCTCCATAAGTTGTTATCGGTCAAATTATTGATAGATAATCATTTATCCGAGACCACTCATTTTTCACTCTTCATTTTCTTTCCCATTCTCGACTTTATTATATTTTTCGAATCGATGAAGTCTCTGATTCACAAACGTTAGTTTTCGAGGTTGTTAAAACCTTCATTATTTCAAATCTATAGAAAATGATCATTTGGATCATTTTTCTATACTTTGGGATCGTGAGAGGTTCCCTTCGATTAATTAACATAAGGTTTGCGATTAAGACGAGATTTAACCTTATTTTAAATTTCATCTCAATTTTATTTTATTTTATCGGTCAGTGAAGTCTTTACATTCGTAAATGTCGACTTATCGAAGTCAATAATCTTCAGTATTTCAAATCTGTGAAAATGATCATTTGGATCATTTTTCTATACTTTGAGATCGTGAGAGATTACCTTCGATTAATCGATAAGATTTTATGATTAAGACGATATCCCACTCCTTTTGACCCATTTCGTCTAATCAGTCTTTAATTCTTGATTTTAATTTTTTCTTAATATACAATTGCTTTACTTTTCAGTCAAATATACTCTTGATTTAATTTCTGTCAATATATCACTGTTTTTATATTTTTAAACATATTCTTTGATTATATTATTGTTGATATTATCTTGTTTATTATCTTGCTCATTTTCATCATCATTATTCATATTCATCCTGTCATATTGTTCATATCTTGTTCATCTAACTCTTTTCCTTGTTTATTTTATTCAAAATACCCAAAACACGATAAAACTATCGAAACCCTAAAAACCCTAAGTTGGTGGACTGTTGATCATTATCTTGGGTATTGAAGTTTAAACCCTGTACATAAATCATAATCCGTTTATTTTGTCCGAACCCGTTTTCATTGTTTAGTTTAGGACACCTCACACATACACGACTTTCTCTTGGACTACCTGACAATGAGACATTTTATTTCGCGCAATCCTCTGTATTTTATATGTATCTCTCTCCCGTTACAGTGTAATAGCTTAGTTCTTTTTATGTTTGCTTGCTACTTGTTAAGAAAGATAAAAATGAATTAGTTTAGAACACGTTTTCAAAACAAAGAACAAATGAGGCTTGATCCAACGTCAAGTCATTTTCAAACTCATTTCAAATTGGATCACCTTAGGGTTTCTCCTTCTCATTTCTCCCCTCTTCTATCAAATCACACCTACCTTGTATGTATTCAACCCTCGTAAGTCGATTGCTTTGCGCATCGCCATCAACCTACCCTGATATATTCTCCACCCTCACTTTTCAAAACATCTTTTCAAAACCTTTCTCTGTGAGCCTAAAAACCTTGGTCTCGTACCAAGTGCATTTTCAAAACTCTTTTCCTAATAAAACTTGGATGGTTGTGGAGTGGTTAGGCGAAGGCCTTGTCCTATCCCAAGTGTTTGACATTACCTTTAGGGTTCACTGTCATAAAGCACTCACTATTCAAGATCAAAACATCTTTAATAAGATAATGAAGTTCTCTTTGTATTGAACTAAAGAGAGAGGATTGAATGCAGACTTCTTCCTCTCCGAGTATCAGGATACTCACTGTAGAGTGTGTGGTCTTGATACTCGTCTTTCAATACGAAGACGTGACTATATTCGTCACACCATTTTCACAATAAATCTTTTGAGATAAAGAATTGGGTACTACCCGCAAGGGGTTACTATCCGAAGACCTATTTCACCCTTAAAAATAACTTTCACAAATCAAATGTGACATCTTGCCTTGATGGCGAAAACTAATCTTTCCAAAAAGAACATGGTACGTCCGTTCTATCGCAAACAGGTAACGCCTAAGACTCTACAAGCGAGCTGCAATTAAACCTAACTACTAGAATGTGCACGTTAGCATCATCCACAAAACACCAGTTAACCGTAGGCCGAACTACGACTGCTCTGATTCTTTACTTCTTTTAAGTAAAGATACGTAGGCACAAGGGCCTCAGTCCTTGCCGAGCACACTCTTCCATCTTTTCTCCGTAGTTCTCCAAACTACGTTGACTCTGACTTTCTCATACCTGTTGAGAATACATAGGCATAGGACTGCGAAGTCCTACCGAGTCTCTTTTCCCCTGTTTTTTTTTTATCTCTCTTCCCTATTTCCAACTTTTCTCTCTCCCTTTAGAACACTCTTAGAAAGCAATACCCTTTAGCAAATAGCTTCACACATAGACAAACAAATGGTTCTCATCGAATACGATGGATGCGAGGGGTGCTAATACCTTTCTTTCGCATAACCGGCTTTCGAACCCGTTCTCTTGGTTGCGAGACCATCTTATCCGTTTCTTTCTTGAGGTTTTCTCGATGTTTTCCTTTCCCCTTCTGAGATAAATAAAGTTCGATGGCGACTCTTCTGTACTTCCATTTCCGCCTCTCCGTCGTTGCATTTTTGAATAGCGACAATTAGTCACAAACTTTTTGTCCTTCTCATGTCGGAAAGAATCTTCACTAAGCATCCTCGATGAAGATCAGTCTGAAGCACAATTTCCTAGACAATCGTAATATTTTGCTTCGACCTTCGAAATTTGAAAGGCATTGATTTTCTGTTTCATTTGGCCTTTCTTTTTGGATTGACCCTTTGACAACTTTGGATCCTACTGCACCCCATACTTAACGTTTCAGTTGGCCTTTCTCTTTGAGTTGACCCTTTGACAAATCTGGATCCTACTACACCCCATACTTAACCATTCTTTATGCCTCCACTGGTTGCTCCCAAGGCTGAGGGGAGAGGGATGTGCTTTTGCTAAGGTCTCTCCATTGCCACCATCACATTAAAAATACAATCTTATCAATAAGACAAAAGAGTAAAGGATGAATATGTAAGGAAAACAAACAATATTAAAAACAAAAATGTCAACTAAGGATTTTCTCCTCAGTAAATATTGTCTATTTTCCTTGGCGGGCGCCTCTACCCACAACCGAGTGTTTCTATCCGGCAAAGAAACCAACTTCATCCAAATTTTGAGATCAACTCAAAACACAACAAGTCACATCAACACAAGTTTTGATCATTTGTCAAACAACCAAAACTTGTGGGACATCTATCACTGGAAAAGTTTCGATCTTGTCTTAGATAAGATTAGTCAACATAAAGTCAATAGATTTGAAGAAATCATTGAGGGATTCAATACGCTTAATTTTTTGCTGACTATAATTTTACCAAATCTCATGCAGAAAAAACTGGTGGTAGTAATATTGATTACCAAATCTTCACAGATTTAGAAACTGTATGCAAGTTTTTAATCTTTATTGATCTTAGCTTTGATGTCGATCCTTTAACTTAGTATAATAACGAAGAAGATCCAAAAACCATAAATTATCATCCCATTCATCTCTATACATTTCCTTCATATTCATCTAAACATTCGATATCTTGGCCTTTTCGAAAGCAGATCCACTCTGAATGATGGAATCCCAATAACTATCATCCCATTCATCTCTATACATTTCCTTCATTTCGACAAAATTCTTAAAACATTCCATCAACATATTGTCCCTCCAATCTTCCAACGGAGGCAACCCAATCTGTTCCACTAACCATTCTTTGTAGTCAGCCTGACAGTAATATTACAAATAAACTGTCAAATTCCGAAAGAAAAAAAAGCTACCTACAATTTTGAAAAAACGGAGGCCTATTTCAATCAATAAATATAATTTCTGAGACTAATTTGCACACCTGAAAAGGACGAAGCGAATGAGTGTAATGTTTGGGCAATCCATTTTCCTCCATGAACTGATAAATTTCTTTAACAGATTCCATCATCTCTTTCTCTGTAGGCAAAAGAATCTTACCGGATAAAACTCTTGCAACCCACTTGGCTTGTAACTCAATTACATTGAAAATTGTTTCCTGGCAACGGAAAGTTAGTTATAATCAACTTATGTTATTTCAATAAACTATATAAATTAACATAAGTTTTCATTAAAATAAACTGTATTAACTCTAAATGTTAAGCCAATGAAAGAGAGCCATGGAGCCAGTGAAGGAGGAAAAATGTGTTTGTATAGTGGCCCGACGCGATTATCTTCAATGGTTACTATTCCATTGGTTTCTAGGAAAGGAATGTGGTATTTGTACCTGTCACATTATTAACTTATATGCCTCAAAATCATTAACTGCATAGATATAATATAAGTTAAGAATTTAGCAGATGATATAAGAAAATATGTGGGGCCAACGCAAATTGATCTAGTTGGTAAAGATTTCAGCTCAATTCCCACAAGAATCAGGATTCGTGTCCGTCTGCCGATGTGAGAGCCTCATTAGTAGCTCTTTGAGCTTTAAGGCTTGAACTCAGATTGATTAAACTTTTTGTAATAAAAAAAAAAGAAAAATACGTAGAAGGTGACAAAATGTCAGAAATTTATTGTACCCTGTGCAGTGAATTATGGCATCTGCATAAATAGAGAATCCATCTTCGAAGGTTACCAAGCCATCTTCATGTACACATTCAATCTAAAAAAATTAAACAGAATAAGAGCAACAAGCAATACTAAAAGTGTTAATAAAGTAATATCTATCATGTTATTACTAAAATTATATAAATTAATTAAGAGCTTTTCAAGACTATCATGTAACTTACATCTTTACTTGTGAAATACAAATACGAAGAGGATGATGACCGGGAATCACGTGTGTGATCTGCAAGAGAACTCTTGTGATCACATGTGTGAGTAGGTCGAGTATGTCATCATCCTCGTTGTATTTCACAAATACAACTTCTAACTTAGATCGTGCAGTTTTAGAGATAATAAAGAAAATACATACCAAAGTATGGTAAGATATATTGCGAATATTTTCCAACTTGATATCCTTGAATTTGGGATTCGGTCTTGTTGCAACATGAACTTCCTTTGCTGCATCTGCAATATCTCTTGAGATGTCAATTGAACTAGGTCCCAGTCCGATTAAAATCACAACCTATTATTAAGCAGAAATCATCAATTAACTTTAAAATAGTTATACATTAGACACGTTTTTATTTAATAATTGTTCTGAGCCGATCAAGACTAAAAGGCAGAAGGCCAAATATCAGAAGAGTCCTACTCAAAAGACACCTCCCAGTTCAGAGCCCCGACACAGAATTGCTAATCTTGCCGGTCAGCCTGCTCCGCTATTAAGCACTAGAGGTCGCCTAGCAGGCCTCACTCCCTTTGCATCAATCGTTTCTGATTCCATCGAACAATAATCAAAATGATTATTCAAAGTATGAAAATTGATGTACCTGATCTTTAAAAGAATGCGGCACTCTATAATTATGAGAATGCATTTGAAACCTCCGCCAATTTTCAATTCCAGGAACCACACCAAGTTTCGGTTCAACAAAATGACCCGAACAAACAACAACCGCTTCAAACACTTCTCGACTCACCGAGTCACTTTCCCGAGTCATCCTCGACTCAACCACCCACTCGTTTTCTTTCCCTTTCCTCTCAACTTTCACTACCTCCGTTTCAAATCGGGTCAACCCATAAATCCCAAACTCCTCCGCAAAATCCTCCAGAAAACGGAGCACTTCCTCGTGACCCGGGAAAGTTCTAGGATCACCCGACTCTCTCTTCTTGAAAGGATAGTCTAAGAATCCCATCACCGGCCTTGGAAGATTGGTGCGTAGCGAGAGGTACACGCTGCTGTGAACGATTTCTCGGGTCGGGTGGATGCTGAGAGGATCGGAATCTGTCTTAGGGTCGTAAACCCAGGTTCCTCCGACACGGTTGTTTTTCTCGTAGACTACGACGTTGTGGCCTTGCTGATGAAGCTCCTTGGCGGCGATGAGGCCGGAGACTCCAGCTCCGATGACTGCAACTTTGACCGATCGAGAAGCCATCGAGATTAGTTGAATTAAGGAAGGAAAAGGAAGTCAAAGCAGGGGAACATGGTTTTCAAGTTCTTTTAACATAAATTAATTGAAATTGAATTAGCATTATTTGAAGTGTGTAGAAAGTTAAACTACTTAAGAATACACAATTCTATAGAAATTTGCATAATTTGTTAGGACATATGTTTGTGGTATTTAAGTCTAAGATTAGTTATGATCTCTTTTTTAGTGCTTGTTAATTTTATGAAAAGTAGTAGATTCAATTGTACCTTTTATTTGTGTCATAAACTTCATAAAAATTCGTATGGAAGTGTCTTTGGTATTTAAGCCATTATATATGTTGTAGACTTTCTTTTTGAATGCTTTTCGGAAAAATGGGTACTTCTCATCGCAAGAGGATTTTAGGTGTCCTGAATTTGTGAAAATATTTTATGAACCAAGTTTGTAATAAAAACTTAGAAATTGGGATATTTATAACCTAACTTATGAGTAAAATTGTGAGTGAAGATCCGATCTCATTTCATCCTTGGGGACTCAGCATAAGTCTCATGGTTTTAAGTTGAATTAGGATAAATACTAATGTATTTTTTTTTTATCTCTTATCTATGTTTTTTTTTATCTCTTTAGCTCTTTTCCCGTCTTTTAAAATCAATCTTAAAAATCAATCTTAAAACTTCTTTTGTCTTTTAAAGTTGCTAAACAAAATATATATTATAATTTAGCTTCACTCTTGTGTTTAAAGTTATTTGGTCAACAAATATAGTCTAAAAAAAATATGAACTTAGATACACCAATAAATATAACTTAGAATGTGAGAGATCGAGAGATTAAAAACATGTAAAAAAAAAGGAAGATGCTGGTATTTTATATTTAGGAAGATGAAGGAATGAGAATAATTGCACATCTTACTTGTGCTTGCCACTTGTTCCGTCGTGAAACCAAAATTGTTAGTGAAGGTCTTCAAGTCGGTGGTACGCATTGCTTCGATGCGATTGTGCGAGGTGGACCTTCAAGGTTAACACTTTAATGACTAAATCAGTCTTTGAATAATGGTGATAGAGTTAGTTATGAATTGAGAATCATATTTGAAATTCTATTTGTCGAATGTCAAGATGTTAGACACAATGTCGTAACAATGTCTATGACAAGAGTATTACGTAATAAGTAAAATAATAACAATAAGTTAAATGATATAGGAATTGGTAACCCAGTTCGGTGTAAAGCCATATACGTGATCGGTGGATTTCACTTGTGTTTTCAAACGCTGTTTGTTGTTAATTTCGCACCGTTTTTATCTGTTTTCGAAGCTTTAGTTGTTATTATCTGAATTACTCGTAGTTGTTTGTCTTCAAGTCTTATTTTGAAGTTTGTATTACTTTTGTCGCTGGTGCGTTTGATTCGGTTTCTTTTAGTGTGTTTTTGGCAGGAACGGATAGCATGACAGTCGCACCGTTTTCGGAGGCAAAGCAAAGTCGGAAAAGGGAAGTCAGAGCTACAACACGGGTACCCGTGTTGCACAACACGGCCCGTGTCATGGAGAACACGGTTGGCAGACACGGGTAGACCAAAGCAGAAGAAAAGGGGAAACAGATGGACAACACGGGTGCCCGTGCCATGCAACACGGCCCGTGTTGCAGCCCTTATAGAAGAAACGCGCCCTGAAGGAGTCAGCAGCCTGACACGGCCACCCGTGTTGCACAACACGGCCCGTGTCAGGGCCACTGAGCGTGAAATTGTTATATTTTCTGATTTTTTGCTGTCAGACCTATTTCGAAGGGCATTTGAGACATTTCGCGATGTAATTTGAATTCAGATATAAGAGTCACTTTTTAGAAAGTAGGAGACACTTTTGAACTGATATTAGGATTGACAACTGAGAGGAGAGTTCTTCTGGAGAACAAAGGATCGATCAAAAGTGGAAGCAATTGATGATCCAAGGGATTCAACTCGAATTGTAATGATCTTCTCCTTTTCATTTCTAATTGCTTTTATGTTTACAAAGAACATGAGCAGTTAAACCCCAAGTTGTTAGGGGGTGGTCCTAAGTTGCGATGTAATGACTTTTATTTGATTATTCTATTAGAACTATGTTATTCACCTTATATCTTTTATTTTGCATCAATCTTAATGCGTATTCATATTGGAAAGTAGAATTCGAATTATGCTTAGGTTTTAGTCTGGAAAGGCAACCTTACACTTTTGCAAAATAGGCTCACGGTCGATATTGCTTAGGAATAAGGATATCCCGTATCACGTATTTTATGGTCTGAACTATTGTTTGATGTTTTTCATGGACACTAAGGAATTAGTGTACATGAAACTCATCAAAGGGTTTTCATTAAGGAATTAAGAAAACTAAATTGGCCAACTGATGAATTAAGGTTAATAACTATTATAACAGGATAATCATACATGGTCTTTACTCGCAGCGTATCCACTCCCCTAACACTGTTCTTAGATTGATTTATAAGTCTTTATTTACTTGTTATATTACTCTGCTACCAAACAAACCACTAGATCTTTTGTTCCTTTGAATCCTAAAAATCCCGTTAATTACTACGCAGTCCTCGAGATCGATACTTGGGACTTTTCCCTTATTACTACAATTGGTAAAAATAGTACACTTGCTATTTTCCCGACCAATACGCCTGGAAGGCGTTAACCTAAAAAAAGAAACTCATTCTTAATAGTCAGAAATAAAAATTGGTCTGATTTGAACTCTCCTAGTTCAATGCTACTTTTCCTAATACTACTCGTGAATATGAGACCCTGAATATGAGACCCTTCTCACTTTCACTTAAACATTGTCCCAAGTGTTTTCACAATTACAATAAATTCAAAATAATGGAACAAAATTACAACTCAAAATACTTTACTCCTTAACATAAGAATGAGACTCAATAATAAAGTATTATAAAACAAAACAAATAGACTCAAACAAATAAACATGTCTAGCTTGATTGTGCAAGGTTTAAGTATTTACAATGTAGAGCTCCTCCTTAAATACCAACATGGTTCAACTTTAAAGCTCATTGGGGTTTTTGTCTTTGAATGCGGCTGAACAATCCACAAGCGCAAGTAACTAATTATTTATTATGTTGGTTGGTGATAATTGATTGGTTAAATTTTGATCGTATCATACGTATTCTATTTTAATATTTTTGAATGATCTTTTGGAAATTTTTCCTAACTCCAAAAAAGTGCATAAAGATTTAAACATGATTAGATAAATATAGAAACAAATATTTAATCAGTGTGATATTTACTCAGCTCACATAAGCTTCTAAGCGAGACAAAATGTTGGAATAAAATTGGTTAATATCATATCCATTGGGTTTTGATGATAATAAAATATTTAAAGAACAATCGAGCTTTCTAACATCTGTTCAAGTTTGTAGGAATATAATCATTAAGAACAGTGAAGAGATGCTCAAGGAATCTACATATGAAGATTAGACTCTAGCTCTGGTGATGATCTAGATTTTGAAGAAGTCAACTCTAAAAAAATTCAGCCTCTGGTGACCCAGACTTTGAAGCTTCAGAAGGCAAGAAGCAAACTGAAGTGATCAGTCTTTGGAGAGTGAAGTCTGAAGAAAGTCAATCTCTGAAGCAAAAGCTCTTCAACTGAGGTAAATCTGACAGGCTCAAAGACTTTTTGATCACATGAAAATTTAAGGAAAAATATCATCCTTTGTGCCTGAGCTTCAGCGTATAATTCCTCTTGCAAAAAGGTGTTTTGTTGATATGTCTAATCAAGTACAAAGATAGCCCAACCTTTTGGTGAAAGTCTTCAACGTCTCTTTTTCTCCTTTCTATATAAGGAGTTGAAGAGTAGATGAAGAAAATAATTGAATATGCTATCACAAGGCTCTGAACATTGACATTCAAAGAGAAGTTACTCTGTCAAATTTATTAGACTTAGAACATCTTAAAACTTGTATATTTTAGAAGTTCTTTAGTCTTAGAGTCTTTCTAAGTTGTATTTTGTCTACACCTCTAATTGCATATTAATTGTAGTTGTTACCCAAATCTCTTAACAGTTTGTTTAGAGTCAGAAGTATCTTACTTTAGTGCTTGAGAATTTGAAGTCTCTTGCCTGTGTTCTTGAGCATAGGAGTATCTTACTTGAGGCTTTGAGAAAAGGAAGTCTCTTTCTTGTGTGTTTGAGCAAATAAGTCTCTTACTTGAGGGTTTAAGTATGTGAAGTCTCTTTCTTGTATGCTTAAGCATTTGGAAGTCTCTTGCTTGTGTACTTGAGTATTTGTAATTAGATTTGGTTATAGCGGAAATCCCTTGGAAGTGTAAGGGGACTGGTCTACTCTCAGGTTGTGATAGGAACTAGGATAACCACTTGTGTCTCTTGTACTCGTACTTTACTTGCTTCTGTACTTAAACATTCCGATGTTGTTAACTCTAATTCTCCAAGTCATATTCTAGTTCCGAACCTGATAAGGATCTTCAGAAGTTATCCAAGCATTTTTTAGTCAGACTCTGAACTAAGTGTTCATAATCTTCTTGAAAGCCATCACAAGCAGAAGTAGAAAAAGCTTAAAGAGGAAAAAGCCAACACAATTTAACCTCATTCTTGTGTTTTTCTCACATCCACATAATGTCTCATAGTCTATGGAATATTATGCTTAACATGTTTCTTCCTTATTTAAACATAGAGGAATCAAGATAACTGACTGTGTCTGCTGTGCTCTTACTTTACTTACTTTTGTACTTCAATATTCTAATGTTGTCAACTCAAATTCTCCAATTCAGATTCTGGTTTAGAATCTGATAAGAGTCTTTAGGAGTTATTCAAGCATTTATGAGTCAGACTCTGAACTAAGTATTCAAAATCTGCTTGAAAGCCATCAGAAGCTGAAGTAGAAATGGCTTAAAGAGGAAAAAGCTAACACAATTTAACCCCCTTCTTGTGTTTTTCTCACCTTTAATTGGTATCAGAGTCTGGTTTGTGTTGAACACTTAATAGTGGTATAAAAAAGATCCTGATAAAAACACTT